TTTTGTTTGGTTTTTTTGTGTGTTTTTTTTTGTTTAGGTTTTTTTGGTTTGATTTTCATTTGGGTTTTTGTTTGTTTCTTTGGGTTGGTTTTTTTTGTTTCTGTTTGTTTTTCTGGTTTTTTTAATTTGTTTTTTTTTTTTTGGTTGTTTTATTTAGCTTTTTGCTTGGTTATTTGGTTGGGGTTTTTTTTGTTGTTGGTTTTTTTGGTTTTATTTGTTGATTTGCTTGTTTTTTGTGTTGGGTTTTGTGGTTTGGATTTTTGTTTTTGTTTAATTTTTGTTTTGCTTTGGGGGTTTTTTGTATGTTTGGGGTTTTTGTTTGGGGTTTTTTTTTGTATGTTTGGGATTTTTGTTTAGTTGTTTTGGTTTTTTTTGGTTTGCTTTTCATTTGGGTTTTTTGTTGTGGTTTTTTTTGGTTTTGTTTAGTTTTTTGTTTGGTTCTTTTATTTTTTTTTTCTTGTTTTTTTGCTTGGGGTTTTTCTGTTTATTGGGTTTTTTTTGTTTTTGTTTATTATCTACTTGTTTTTTTGTGTAGGTTTTTGTGGTTTGGGGTTTTTTTTGTTCAATTTTTGTTTTGCTTTGTTTTTTTTTATTTTGGGTGTTTAGTTTTTTTAGTTTTTTTTTGTTTGGCGTTTTTTTGGTTTGTTTTTCATTTGGGTTTTTGGGGTTTTTTTGGTTTTATTTAGTTTTTTGTTTGGTTCTTTTATTTTGTTTTTTTTTTCTTGCTTTTTTGTTTGCTTGGGGTTTTTCTGGTTATTGGGTTTTTTTGTTTTTATTTGTTATTTGCTTATTTTTTGTGTAGATTTTTGTAGTTTGTTTTTTTGATTTTTTTTATTTTTTGTTTTCCTTTAGTTCTTTTTTTTTTTTCATTTTGTTGTCGCCATTGAGGTTTTTTTTGTTTTACTTTGCTTTTGATTTTTGTTTTTGTGGGACATTTCTGCCTGTTCTTCCCAGCTGCACTTGGCATGTTTTTATCTCCTTCAAACCCACATTTTCAGCCTTTTTGCAGTGGCTGGGGACACAGGAAGTGCAATCAACCCGAGGTGTTACCCTACAGCTGAGGGGTTTGGCAGCCCAATTTTGCAATGTGGGCAGAAATATCTGCTCAGAGTGGTGAGAAAATCCCCTGGGGAAGGAAAACTCCTCCTCCAGCTGCTTCCTCAACAATGGGATGAGCCTGGCAGGAAATGTGGGCTTGGATCACACCGAGAGGTGTCAAAACAGAGCCTTGCTAATGAGTGCTAATGAGCCTTGTCATTAATGACTCTCAGGGGAGGAAGAGCTTGTCATCATCTTCTTCACAGACATTGATTGCAGTGCTCAGAGCCTCCAAAATTCATCTGACATTCATTAGCTCAGAGCCTCCAAAATTCATCTGACATTAATTAGCTCAGAGCCTCCAAAATTCATCTTGATTTTAGTGGTTAGTCCAGAGAAATCTGCTCTTTATCCAGAGCTGGAATGGGCCTCCTGCCATGAGCCAGGAGGATTTCAGGCTCCTGTTCCAGGATATTGTTTGGCTTTGGCTTTAATTAAATCCTCCAAGTTTGAGTCGAGCTGCTGCATGTCCTGGGTTTGCCTCAGAGAATTTAGGTTTGCCTTGGGAGCAGCCAACTCCCAAGTTTTCCAAAGAGTTTGGAGGTGTTTATGGTGAAGGTCATGTGATTCCCCCACACCTGGGAGGCCAAAATTCCCTGTGGTTTGAGGGAAAACTGGGAGAAATCGAAGCTTCATTGCTTCACTCCTGTTTAGTTTAAACTATTGTCAGATTTAAGGCAGATTTAATAACTCAAAGGAGATTTTGAGAGTTTGTAGGGAATAATGCAAAGGGTTTAATCTGGGATTGTGGGATGTGTTGACTCCAGTTGCTGCCCCTTTACTGACATCATTGAAACTTCATCCCTTCACTCCTGTTTAGTTTAAACTATTGTCAGATTTAAGCCAGAGAATTATTAACAACTCAAAGATTTTGAGGGTTTGTAGGGAATAATGCAAAGG